ATCAATTTTGTTTTCATTATTCCAGTTCTTTTTTGTGTTCGACATTTCCTTTCGATCAAAATATAGATTACTAATAAAAAAAAGTTCGATAGTCAAAGATTATAATTTATATGTAATTTCTTTTTGTTTTGCCGAATTGGTTATCTACAGCTGCTTCACAATGTTTTCATGATTCGAAAGGTTAATATTATTTTTCTGTTTATCATTGTATCTAATAAAATGAATATTTTTTAGGATCTAAATAGTCCATCAATGTATGAAACAGGTATTGCTATGAGTGATCTTTCATGTTTTATAAATAGTGATCTCGCACGTGATTTAACTAATGCTATAATGACGCTTGTAAGAAATAATTGTATTTTTATTTTTATTTATTTAAATAAATTTTTTTAGATGATATCAACAAAATCATATATTCGTAAATGAGCTATTCTACTTTTATATAAAATATTTCTTAATAATCTTGATGTTCTTAAATCAGCATTTCCACGTTTAAATGAAAAACTTGAAGATTCCGATTCAGATAAATTGATTAAATATAAAAAAGAGAATTTTAACATTTTATTTTCAGATGTATAAGCAGCTGCTGTGAATGTTATTTGTAAACTAGCTAGACGTAATCCAGAAAATTATCTTACTTTAGCTCCAATGTTGTTTTCTCTTTGACAACACCAACTAACAATTGAGTGCTTATTAAAATTATTAAATTAGTAAATAAAATTTGTTTAACTTCTTTGTTTTCGAATGGATTTCTTTTTCCTTTTTTGTGTTTAGTTTGGTGTATTAACACCATTAGAACTTCGTTTAGGCAAAAAATTAATAGAACTATTGACAGATTTAATTCATAGTACTTCAGCTATGTCTCTTTGATATGAATGTATTAATACTGTGATTGCTAGTAAAATGAAATAAAGAGATAAATTTTAACTGAATACGTTTTTATTTAAGTTCTTGTTCCAATTTCATCGGATTTACCAAATCATAATGCTTCAATTCAACTATGTGTACAAAAACTTCAAATACTTATCGAAGATTCAGATCAAAATTGTGTGAAATAAATAACATTCATTATACAAAAAAAGACAAAAGAAAGTTTTTATATTATCTTTTTAGTAAAATATATTGGTTTACTTGCTAAGTCGACAATCTTACATACGCATCCAAAAAGTATTCAATCACATAGTGATTTAATAATGCGTTGTCTTGATCTTCTTTCTCGAATGGTAAGAAAATGAATTATTAGCTAAAAAATCAATGACAAAAAAGTATTCAAATATGAAATAATCAATTCGATAGAAAAGAGATATTAAAAATAACAGATGTTCAAACAGATTGTCGAACTTGCTTGTTATTTTTTTAAAATTTTTAATAAGTTCGTTTTTTTTCATGAAGAAATGTACATATCGAGGTATACAGTGTTCGTACTATGTGAATACTTATTTTTTTTCGACTGACCTCTTTTCTAACAATAGAAAAAGGTTATATTAATTTTCGTGAATAAATATTGCAGGAAAAAAAATTCAATCGTGATATTGATTTTATTCGTTGTAGAAAAATGAACAAAAATAAGCAAACAAGAAATTTTTTATATTTTGAATATGAGTGGATTAATAAATCGATATATATAAGGAGATTTTACTCACTTGTACTGTAGTCAGATATCTAGTTCTAGTTTCTCCTATGATATATTAACATCATACTGTTATCATAATTGCTTAGAAAAATATCTTTAAAATTGCGAATATTTTCATACGTCAGGAGCTCGAAATTGTTTCTGATTTACATCTATATTAGAGGACAGATTTTGATGTCTTTAATTAGACCATTAAATACATTGAAAACATTCTTATTATTATGTTAATATTTTATTTTTTGTCGTTGCCAGACAGTGACGATCTACTGTATAAAGCCAATAGATGTTTGCATAGTAATGTCACGTTGATAGAAAGTACACACAGGTAGGGACAGACAAACCATGCCAACAGAAGGTAGATCTCTATTTAGTGATTTCGGCGCTTGGATCTATAGATTTTCGGTAAGAAAACTTGGAAAAATAATAGAAAATCGATAGCCGGACTTTACTAGTTTCGATCAGAATAGATCGTAATTGAACAGAGCTAGCCGTCGGATTCCTGCTTCCAAGTTCTTACAATTTTCCGGTCAGCATCGGCTCGTATTTTATTACATAGAAGTTGTGCTTTAGGACAGCTTTTCTATATAAAAAGTGTTATGAATTAATATGAAACAATGATCATTACAAACTCTTATTTATTTCCAATGACTATTGTAGTTTTAGTTGAATTAATTTTTTGTAAAGTCTTTGTATAATTTAGATGTGTCATTAAAAACAAAGGTTAATATGATTTATATTTATTAATCTATGGATTTCATTCGTAATCATTTTACTGTAGTTTTTATCTATTTTTGAAATACAAAAAAATGTTTATTGATACAAGAGTTTGTCATAAAAACAATCTATTAGTTTCTACTCAGGTCAAGAAATACGCACCATTTCCAGCCAAGAAACTCGAGAAAATGTTAGAAACTTCTTACCATTTTACCGAGTTTTTCTGTCGGAATTCTTTTAAATAAGTAGAGTGAAACATGAATAATTGATCTCTTTAATTAATTGAGCTTTTGTTTGAGATGGTATGAGAATGCGATGGAGAAAAACTATTAATCAAAAAAATCTGATCATTCAATATTTGAAAAAAAACCTTAATTTTGATTATGAATTTTGTTTTTGTTCAAGTAACAAGAAAAGCTCTAATAGATATCGTACATAAATTAATGATTCATATGGATAAATCTGAAGGATTACGTTATCAATATGAATTACTTTCAAAAAATAATTGAAATATGTAGTTAAAATGATTATCAACATATAACTAATTTTGAATTGTTTACATTTTTTTAATTTTTATTAATAAAAAAACATTATTTATCACTATAGATATATTAGTATATTGGTTGAATTAACTCGTCTTGAAAGTACAAAACATGGTAATCTCATGTCTTTATAAATGCTTGATGTTGTTGTTCGTGTTTAATCTATTCGTTCATTTGCCTGTAACCAAATGATAGAAATTTTTCAAAAACAAAATCACGAAAAAATTTTTTTATTTCAGGTTTTTAGGCAATTCTTCTCGAAAATGCTTATATTTTTATTCATGATTTAAATTCTACAACTGTCTCCGAAGTTTTATATGCTGCTGCATGAATTTGTAGTGAATTTTGTTCGTAAGTCAATAACGAAAAACAAAATTAATTGAAAGAATTCTTGTTTTTCTTTTCTCTGTAGTCATTAAAAAATCAAAATATTTTAAAAATTATAATATATCTAATTCAATCATCGAATAATGATAAAACATTAATTCAACAACTTCTTTCATTAACGATTGATAAAATGTCTCTATTTTTATCAAGTGGTGATGTCGAAGCACAAGAACGAGTAGGCCATTTTTTCTTTTTATTTTAAAAGACATCAAGATAAAAAAAATCGCATTTTTCACATGGGAGATGAACATGTAATTTCTGTTGCTCAGAAGATCATCTTCAAGAAGATTTTTTTTATCAAACATCATTCAACGCAGTTTCATATGTTGATTTCGAATAAGTCATTGATTTTGAATAGAAATGCTTGAGAGCCAACAAAAGAGGAACTCAGCTGAAAATCTGCTGTACGATCCAGGAATGTTTATGCTATCTGTGCTGATGCAGGTCACATAGAAGGGCTTGTAGGTAAAGTGTGAGTAGATTTAAATTGGTACTAAGAGATGCACATTCATTTTACTATAACGAAGTGGTTTGGAAAATTCATTGCAGAAATGTTCATCTTATTTCTCAAAAGTGGCGACTCAAAATAAAATTTTTGTTTTACTATTAGATAGTAGAGAATGCACAAATTTTAGAATATATATTGCTTTTTGCCAATTAGTTGGTTACATCTTGAATAAAAAGCAATTTTTCGTAATTTAGCAATATTTTTAGGGTAATCTTGGATCAGGTGATTTTCTATGTTACGCAACAATTTTTACGCAATCAAAAAGAGCATATTTTCAAATATATTAATCACTATCTGAATCATTAAAAACTCGATTTTCATTTTTCCACCTAATGTTCACGCGCCTACCTTCCCACACAATGGACAGCCTGAAGATAAAATCGATTTATGATATCTGAAACTAAGTTGTAGCTAGCAATAAATCTACTATGAATCTGCATTTAATTACACTTTGAATTCTAATTGCGAACGAGTAACCGTCTTGCAATAGCTATTATCAAATAGATAAAATAATATAAATAAAACGTATGTTTCAAATTGAAGTTTTAATGATAGTCATTAGATGTTATATATTTACTCTATACACTATAGGCCGTTTGGATTTACTGAAGATCCTTCTTCTCCATTAGAACTAAAAAATAATGACTGGTGAATATGTAATTTTTTTCCGACACTTTTATTTAAATTTGAATTTATTATCGGATTGAGCATTTCACCACCAAACTTAAGTTGGATACACTAGCATATGGATCCAAACCCTTGTGAGCATCAATCGTCCCAAATATAACCTTCGATACAGACCTGTCCTAATTGACTCCTACTATGATCATTCATTTTTCGAATTGATGAAGGTTCAAATAAATAATACAATTTAAAACTTATACATTTTTCAAAGTGTTACATTGATTGTTGAGTTTTAAACATAATCTATAGATAGTATCTATTTGTCAGAAATCTTTCCAATGAAAGAAGCTAGATAATCACAATTAATCAGCGTCAGCTATCCAAAATTTAAAAAATTATTTTTCGAAAGAATCTGTTTGCTCAAATATGCTATAGTTTATTTTCCGTATCAGGCAACTAATATACTTAATTTATTCCTAGATGATACGTCATAAAATTCTGAGAAGTTGTTGTTTTGAAAATGTTGATCGAAACTAATTGAACTTGAAAAGTTCATAAAAATGCTAGAAAAATAATCATAATAAATATCCGGATGCGTTTTACCAATAGCTCGAAATATCAAATATAAAAAAAAAAGAAATTATTTATTTAGGCCAAGTGTTATTCTACATATTCTTAAAACAACATTATAATTAATTGAAAAATCTGAATTTAATGTTAATGAATTATCAGTATTACTTGATGATGTTCTTAATCCAATTGCTGCTAAAGCTCAACGTTTTTGGATTTGGATGGTTGGATAAATGATCCTCACTCAGACAGTGAACATGAATCGATAACAACAAGCTCATATTATGATAATAAAGGTTTATTTTATGATGATAATGGAGAAAATTATAATTCTAATTCATACTCTGGCGATATATTAAGTTATCAAAAATCGAAAAAATATATTGAATCAACTGCTGAAGGATTAGAAAAACAACGAGAATCAAAAAAACAAAGTGGACAAATGAATCCATTCTATTTAAAAGATTCAAAAAAAACCAAAATTGACACAAATAAGTTTTTAGTGTTAGTGATTTATTATGAACGTTTCAAATCTTTTGATTACCGTCTATGTTGACATAAGAACGTCGAATTTGTCATCAGATATAATGGACAAGTTTTTACCATACCTTTATCTTAAGATAGGAGCAATAACAAGATGTGAAACATTTACAAGAAACTAGTCTCGTTAAGGTCTGTCTCTATGAAGAGTTCCAAGTCAAAATTCGAAAATTAGTTTTCATGATATTCCTGTGAGGCATCATGGCTAGAACCTATCGGATTCAAAGTTTTCGGATCCGAAATTAATCCGACAGGCTCTAACTACGACATTCATTTAAAAACTACGGTAAAAGTGCAATATCTCGTCATTAATAAGCTACAGACTTGAACTATCTTCCGGATATTCTTAGCTCATTTGATTCTATAGAATACAAATAGTCTAATTCAATCCTTGGATTTATCTTTAATATTATAGACTGAAACAACTTCGGATACTATAAATGGAAATGATTGTATTGAATTAACATTATCACAAGGAACAAATGCTACTAGTTTACAATTAACACTATCTGATCAATTATATCGTCAAGCAAAAATTGATGAAGAAAATCGATGTTTAAAGAAAAAAATCGAAAACTGATGCAAAAGTAATTCATGATAATGATGATGATATTTATCCAACTGTAAAAGTAACACGTGATGGTGAATTACCAGAAAATACTACAGAAAGTGAAAATAAAGATAATGATAATGATGTGCGTGTTGAAAAAAATAAAAAATATGATCTATATCGAGCACTTAATATTGACTTAAATGAAAAATCTATTCAATCGATTTCTATGCCATCACCATGGACATCTCAATTAAAAGAATCAGTTCCTAAACAAGTTGAAACACCTCCTATATTAACTGAAAAGCCAAAACAAAAAATCTAAGAAAAAGAAAATAATTGAAAAACAAGAACAATTATCAACATCGAAATCTAAACACAAACGAGAACATAGTGATGATAAAGAATTATTACTACCAACTGATGAAGAAGAAAATCGTCCAACTTCTTCTACACCTTCTCCTCCTCCTCCTGATACTGCAGAGAAAACCAAAGTAAAAAAATCATCATCAGAAATAACAACAATAGTATATACAAATACTTCTGTGCCACTCCTATTGGACATTATGACGGATGATATTCATCCAACAAATCAATCTGAGTAACAATACAATGAGCAAGATACTTATAAACTAGCTGCTCAATCTGATAATTTGACAATTGTAAATTCAATAATTATCCTAGTTTAACAATAGATGAGGAAACTTCGTTAAGTGATAAAATGCTTTTGACATGAGTCTCATCTCATTAGGTGGTAGACTCTATTGAGATTAGAGAAAATCTTCGTCTGATCATCTTTAAAAAATTTACCTTTGAGATATGAAAAGATGGAGTTCGCTTTTCTTCGTACCAGAATTTTCAATATTGATGTCTCAGGATAGAAGATATTCGGAAGTTTCTACACTTACACGATGAATTAATCCTATCAAGAACTTGATTTTGAAGATGATCTGAAGAGAAATCCATTAAAATGACTATTACACAAACAAAAAGATCCATTCAGATTCCAGTCCCAAAAAAAAGTCAACTTTGTCCATCCCTAACTCACACCAACGTTGGAGATATTACTTTTTTTACCATTGAAATCATCTGAATATGCATTTAAACAATCTGTTATAAATTTATTTTTAGGAATATTTGATTAATCCAGATCCATTAATAGCTCAAGTGGATGTAATATTTTTTTTTAAAATCGAACATCATTTATTATTGATCATATTAATATTCATATTATTGATAGTATGAGTTCGAAATTATTAAATACAACAAATGCAAATTTAATATCATTTCCATCTATAAGTCTTTTTCCTCATTCACCAAATTATATTCATATTTATTTTTTAATAAATGCTATATCATTTTCTCAAAACTTAAAAATAACATCAACTTATTCTATAAATGTATGTTGAACAAATAAAAAAAAATACTTGTTATCTTCATTTTTGACAAATATATTTAGAAATTCAATATAATTGAAATAGATCGAATTGAATTTAAACTTAATTTACCTTGTTCACGATATTTACGACAAAGACTATTGATTCGCAAGAATAAGTTTTTTTTATTAGGTTATTTAACATGAATATATATTTTTTTTAAAAGTATGATATTCATTGATTTGATGAGTTCGGGTACATTGACATGTCAATCACAACTTCGTATTCCATCATCTAATCAAGATTTTCTATCGATAATTAATAAAATTTGTCAATCTTATTGATTAACTGGTTAGAAAACAAAATTGAATTTTTTTTATATCCAAATTCTTAATTTAGTTGTCGAAAAAATTAATTCAGCTGCATCTTTATATGCTGAAACAATACTTGGACAACTAATAGCTCTTTTATTTAAATCAATAGTATGTCTATTTTAAGATTTTTATTTATTTAGAATTCTCAAAATGATATTTTAATCGACGATAAATCAACAAAAACACATTATCTTTCTAATCTCATGAAAGAAATAAAAACATCATTAAAATAATTTGTTTTTCTTTATTTCATTTATTTATTTTTATTTTTATTCCATGGACAATATCTATATAAAGCGAAGAGAAAAATAATAATTGACAAACAGTGATCTCTTTTTTTGCATCTATTATCTTTATTTACCAAAAAAAAAAGCAAAGAAAGAAAATCTCTTATGTATCAGATAATAAGTATATTTGATCTTCTGACACATAGAAAATATGTTCGTTTTTTTTGTTTTGTTCTGGATGATTATAGTCAATTCTTATGTGTATGCATATTTTCTATTTTTTATTTGCTATAATTCGAACATTATATATATTTATAGAAAAGAGGAAAATTAATGATAAACTATTTAATCATTCTCGATTGGTTTCAAATGATTAGAAGAAAGAAATTTTTCTTTTCTATGAAGCTTATTAAATTTTCAAGTATAATGAGTACCGATGAGCGGGACCAATCGTTTATTATCCCGATCTTGACTAGAAAAAGTTTTTTAGTTCTGACTTCACACTTAATAATACATGTACTAGCAAAATATGCAATATACTATTCTAGTAGTGTTAATAAACTCGAGACATCTTGGACGATCCTCATGACTTCTAATATCCTGTCTCTTCGAGGATCATTACTTTTTTTTTTAACTCATTAGTATCTGATCGGTTCTGTTTGTTTACATGTTCGACAATTCTCTTGTTTACGAACAAAAGAAGGATTATTTTACTATGAAAATTAGAACGGCAAATATTGCAGTGATCTTTACTCAATAATTTTTGCATAGACTTGGAATACATGAGTCACAACAACATAGCATGATCATAAAAGGTATCACTCACCTAAACTTTTTATGGAAATAAAAAACGCCTTATAAATATTGTTCACGACTGTACATCCAACGACAATAATTTCAGCATGCGGATTTGAATATTAGCATTGGTAACAGGTGATATAAGATAATTGTTCTGATTTTTCTTTGATTTATAAAATAAAAAAACTAACTAGCTCACAATTATGCAAATGACAGAAAAGGATATAATTGATATAAGGTGTGGATATAGATCAGGCTCTTGTCTTCACTCGCACACACACCATATATACTTTCATAATAAGATATAAATCTTACTACCTAACCTAACGTCCAATAGCGGCGTAACTAGGATTTTTAGACCAATGGGCAAACTCTCCTATGTCGAAAAAAGCCAATGGGCAAAATGGGCAAGGTTTTTATTGATAGGCCAAAACTTTTTTTACCCAACAAAGTACTAATAATGTAAAAACAAACATGTATAAGGTAGTGTTAAGGATTCTTCAAATATGTATCTGTACAGTACACATGAACATTTTTCCTTTCTCTTCTATGAGTCACTCTATATGTATATATATCTATACATACATATATGTTCGTGTGTATTCTCTTGATCTGGGCTCTTGTTTCTCTTTTTTACTTTCACGTGGTTAGTGTTTTTCCAATAAAACTGAATTCATGTTCACCCAAACTTACAGTTAAAACAGAGTTGCCAGATCTTCTAAAAAGCCAGAAATTTTTCTGCAATTTGGACATGTTTCCAATTTTTTTTCTGATTTGTTGACGAATTCCAAATGTTTTTAGATGGTGGCTTTACTAGCGAAATCAATCGCAAGTATAACTCATTAATATTATGAATCAATATTTCACTATCTTCTTTCCCTTCTTAATCTTTTGTAGTTTCTAAGTTCTACAGTCACTGACGAGTGCTGTAATATATTAGTAAACTTTTGCGTTGCAGAACTTAACAATAAATGCTAGTTATTTTTTTGAAAGATTTTGTAAACATATTTTAGCTCAAAAACATTTATTGGAGAAATTTTGAACAAAGGAAAACTTGAAAAATAATATGGGGTTTATGTTCTATAATCTTTATTATTTTTCGTAAACAGAATTTTAGCTTCGTAAAAGAATCCGACACTGTGTCTTTTGCTAGTCTGTTTTTTGTATTAACTAACAATTGCAGACCATGCAACAGCAAATTAAGAAGATTGCTCATAGCTGAATCAAATGAATGCTCTCACTCACAGACCAACTAAAACGTTAACTGTCACTAGCGTACACAGACTGAGATGTTTAAATTTTAACATATTTACAATTTGTCATGTGCCCACACTACGAAATTTCATCAACCTTCAGTTCTCTTTCTTCATCATGGTTGTATAGAACACGACTATTTACATCAGAAGAAGCAATATCACACACATTCAAGAGTAATTTGACAGCAATAAAAATTTTTTGTTTCTTACCCTTATAATTAAAATGTTGTCTTAGACTTCGTATAATTTGCTTTTTAATATGCGTGATATTGTTTTCTCTTATGTAAATGGTTCTACTCCATCCAACCATGACGAAAAAAGATGGCTAGGCATTGATGAAATTTCATAGTGTGGGCACATAACAAAATGTAAACTTTTTGAAATTCGAATATCTCGGTGTGTGTATACACTATTGGCAGCTCATATTTTTAATTAGTTAGTTTGACAGTGACAGCATTCATTTGATCCGACTACAATCAATCTCTTTAGTTTACAGTACACAATCTTTTACTCTAAGTTATATAATAGTTGTGTTGTCTCTCTTTACTATGACATACTTTTGGAAGCAAAGTATGAGTCGATAAAAGAAAAAAAAGTGAAGCCTTTTGTGCAAGTATGTCAACATGACAGTTCTTGGTCTGCAAAAAGTTATTCTTTCTGATTAGTTTCCGATTTCGGAAAAAAATTCTGATTCTTTTCCTGATTTTTAAGTTTTTCATCTAGCAAACCTGGTAAAAATATCAGAAGCGATTCTTTTCTTCTTCTTTTCTTCGTTCTTTATAGAAAGAACAAGCAAAAGTGTATGTATGATTCAGACGGAAGAAAAAAAAATAGAGCTACTATCTAATTCAAAAAGAAATAAACAACTCTGTAAAAGTAAAATTACAATGACCAAATATCCAAATGAAATTGGCAATTGCCTATTTGCTCCTCCCTTGACTACGCCACTGTGACATTGCACTTATTATCCATAATTCCGATTAGTTGATATATGTTGCCAAACTTATGAGTTCTATTCAATAAAGTTTTAATTTCTTATTCTTGTGCTGCATTTCTCAATACTTGATATTCTTATGTTTTACAAAGTTAGCGCAAAACACTCAAATACTGTAATATTTTTTTCATAGATCTATGAGAATCAGTAACACTTTAATTAAAGAAAGTCACATTATATATGCTAAGTTATCATCTGATGTTCATTAACGTCGTCTTCTTGTTGCTTATCCAGTAATAACAACAAATTCAATAGTTCTTACTGATCTTGAATTATTACATAAAGAATATTAGTGTAAGCAATCAAATATGATTTTTGATACAATTATTTTCTACACTTCATGGACTTAAACATATTTGTGAACCTTATCCCCGTATAACACATGATATTTCAGACATTTATGATATTTTAATTTTTCTGTAGGTAGTGATTAAATAAAAAAAAAATAGTTGGTTTTCTGTTTCTTTGTTTTGTTATTGTTTTTTTTTGTTTCTTATTTTTCTATATGACATATGAATTAGGAGTTCATGAAGGAGTTGAAATGACACGAATGAAACTCTTTAATATTCTTCCTATTTCATAAGATTAAATTAAAATTTATATGAATATATATGTCGGAGTTGACTTTAGAATTCAGTTGCCTTTAAAAGGCAGCTATTTTACTTTTCAATTTCGAAATCAACTATCCTCTATTTTGAAATCAAATGTATTCGAGTAATATAAAAATAAGTTTCATTGAAAAACGATAGAAAACTGCAAACATCACCATTGAGAGAGGAAAATTAATATTATTGATCCATGAAAGTCTTAATCAGTTTAATGTTCGAAGCATATCGGTTGATCAAGACCTGAGGGTGTGGGATGTGGCTGGAAAGAAAATCCACACCCCATACTCACACTCACAGCCACATCCATACTCACACTCACACTCACACCCACATCCCACACACCCACACCCACCCGCATAATAAGACGTGTCACTTTGTCATCAAATGTACTTTTATTTTCAAAAATGAGAATTAAATGAAAGATAAAGAGAGTGATTATCATTGAATAAATCAATCTACACAATATTTATTCATGATGCAAATTGATCAAAACAAATTCTTTCTTTTAAATCCATATTGAAATATCATGAGTGTAATGAGGATCAGCACTGATCAAATACGTCGATGGTAACTCATCTTTTAACCATTGAACAAGTTCATCTAAAACTTGTTTTTTTTCATTCTGATTTCTATCATTATTATTTGTTTGTTGTGAATGTTGAAAAACTTTGTCATCATTCCAATAAATATTTAATGCTCGAAGATTGATCATATTTCTGACAAGGCTAATTATACTTTGACGATTATTAAGTTGAATAAAAAGAGCTTCACATTGAATACCAAGAGGAGAACGACTCAATGTAAGGCACTCTTCTTCATTAAAATAATGATAACATTCGTGTAAATCCAATAGGAAAATCGATCTATGTGTATATATGAATAATGATCTTTGTAAAGGTAATGATGCATCTTGACTGATATGAAGTCTTCTTAGATGAGGTGCGCGATTTAATAAAGCTTGTAATTGAGATTGAAAAGTATCAGCATGAGATGATATTCTAAGTAAGTCCAATCGATTTAAACTTGGAATATTAGACCAAAATTGATCGTTGATAGGAAATTTTATATCAAGATACTTAATGTTAGGTAAATGAATATGAGACAAAGCAAATTTCTCAAGAAATTCATGAAAACAGGTTCTGACCATGTCATATTGAAACTTTTGATAATCATCGTATGGACATGTCGATTTCCATGAATCACAACGAGTTTCATAGTATTTCAATCGATAACTATGTGTAAAGAGCCGAAGAAATCTTGACAAAATTAAACACCGAACAAACCATTTATGTTCATCAATCCAAAATGAATCCCGAAATGAATTGATTAAGGCATTCGCACGTTCTTCGATATTATCATCAAGCCGAATTGTTTTATTCGTTTTAAGTCGAAATATTTTTAATTTAGGTAAGTAATTTCGAATAATTTGTTTCCATTGATGACCATCAATCAATTGAAAGTGTAATATGACTTTTAAATAACATAAATTAGACATGTTTTGAAAGAAGACATTGGTATTTGAAGTATTAAACTTTGAAAAAGTTTCAAGATTCCATTTAGTTAATGTTGAAAGTGAAGATGATATGTAATTATCATCAATAACAGATGTCACAGTTGTCGAAAGATATTCAAGTCGAGGCGTACATTGGAATAATCGATTTAATTTACTCCATCTAAGTTCACTATTCTTAATAGTTATATATTTCAGTGATGAAGAGATAATTGTTGGAGCATAAGAAATCATTTTTTTTCGATGGTAATGTTAGAAAAGTAATGAGTAAGTTTTGGTAAACTCCAAATGTTATTAATAATGAATTGAAAATCGTCTTCTTTGATATTTGAAAATGTGCAAGAATCAAATTCTAAATAAGTCAGATTGTTGAGATAATGACATTCGTTTGAAATTTTTAATAAGATTTCTGACGAGTGAAGTTTCCCTATTGTCAGCGATCGCAATTGAGTGAATTGTTTCAATGACGGTATGTAAAAGAAGAATAGATTAATCTGACCGACAGTCTGTCGGAAATCTGATTAACGGGTGGGCGTGGGGTGGGTGTGGGTGTGTGGGTGGAAGTGAATAAGGTCAACATCCGCACCCACACCCACACTCAGTGGATTTTACAGCAAAAAGTATTGTTTATTGGAGTAGAATTCAACCTTTTATAGATGGAAAAATTTATCATGTGATAAATCCGAATAGTGAAGTATTACTTGAAGATATTATGAATTGTATATGGCAATGTAGTGTTAAGTTGAACAAAGTTTCTCTTGAAGAATGGCGAAACATATTAAAGACAATTAATGATATAAATGATCCTTTTGCCTCTATTGGAGAATTCTTAAATGAAAATTTGTTCAAAGAAAATCGTAAAATATCTGCCGAACAATTTTGTCCTTCAATTTCTTCATTGAGTTTTCCATGCTTAAACGACGTTTATTTAATGAAGTGGCTAAAGTTTATACTCGGCAATATTATTTGTCAATAATCTGTAACAAATACGCTTTTCTATCAACAGTGTCTCTATCTTTCAGATTTTTTTCTTTATACTTTAGGGATGCACCAATTCCAATTCCAACCAATTCCAATTCTTAGAATTGGTTGGAATTGGAATTGGTAAGAATTGGTTGGAATTGGAATTGGAATTGGTCGGAATTGGAATTGGAATTGTAGGAATTGGAATTGGTTCCAGTTCCCTTAAATACATATGGAACCTCAGGAATGGATATGGACCTGGTCTGAAACTCACTGGACTTCGCTTGAGACAACTATAATTCCCATGGAGTCCAAACAATTGTTATTCAATTCGCCAGGAATTAGTTCGATCTGGACCGTTTTCCCTACAATTCGTATGCAATCCTAGGAATTAGTGTGGAATTGGTTTCAAACTGGCTAGGCTTGCCTTCAGCCGGCTACAACTCTTGTCGAATCCCAAAAATTTCTATGATATTGGTCTCAAACAGGCCAGGCTTGGCCTTAGGTGGCTACAATTCTTCTCGAATCATAGATATTCCTATGGAATTGGTATCAAACAGGCTAGGCTTGGGGTCAGATGGCTACACTTCTTATGGAATCCTACAAATTCCTATGGAATTCGTATCAAACAGTCTAGGCTTGGTCTTAGATGGCTACAATTCTTCTCGAATGATAGAAATTTATATGCAATTGGTGTCAAACAGGCTAGGCTTGGTCTTAGCTGGCTACAATTCTTCTCGAATGATACACATTGCTATGGAATTGGTATCAAACAGGCTAGGCTTAGCCTTAGTTGGCTATAATTCTTCTCCAATGGTAGAAATTCCTATGGAATTGGTATTAAACAGGCTAGGCTTGGCGTTAGATGGCTACAATTCTTCTCGAATCATAGAAACTCCTATGGAATTGGTCTCAAACAGGCTAGGCTTGGCCTTAGCTGGCTACAATTCTTCTCGAATGATAGAAATTCCTATGGAATTGGAACCAAACAGGCTAGGCTTGTGGTTAGATGGCTACACTTCTTATGGAATCCTAGAAATTCCTATGGAATTGG